TTGCCGGCCATCATATATCCCTTATTACTGATTCTGAGCTTTCAAAACCACCTTTTGGTGATACTTCCCAGAGAAACCTTCTCACTGTTCCTTTCATCAGACTCAGTGATAAACAGAACCTGGACGTCCAAGGAACCGAATGTCCCAAACGTCACCAACAATACAAAAATTTATGTGCGCATCAGGAAATTCTGCTACTTTTCTCTGCAGAGGCAACTGACTTAGATCTTTATTCAATAAATAAAAGATCTAATAATGAGTGTTTTCTGAGTTCACATTTCATCCGCAACACTTGAAACTGCAGAAAAGTTCATCAGTTTGAGACGAATAAAACAACAACAGCGAGAAGTTTTTAAAAATGAGCGCTTCAAGGGTTTTAAAATGCATGAAGTTAATCCGTCAGTTTGCCGCCGGCCTCATGCAGCCTGAAGGAGGCTAATTAACGCCGAACTCCAAGATAAACCTCTAATGAAGCTGAGACATAAATAAAAAACTGCTGGAATAATGAAACAGCAGACTGATAATCTTCCTGTTTCAAGAGCCAGAATTTGTAGCTGTCGTCTGCATGTGATTAGCTTAGCATAAAGGCTAGTGTAGCATCTTGGCAAGTAAAGAAATGAACACATTCACACACTAATGGCGACAGAGCTGCCATGCACGGCGTTGCGTGCCATTGGGAGCAGCTTCGGGGTCAGCATCTTGCCTAAGAACGCTTCGACTGTGGAGGGACGGGGGATCAAACCACCAACCTTACGATCAGAGGACAACCGCTCTACCACCTACACCCATCAAATACTGTTGATATTACCATGATATTTTTAATAACATGTCATGTATACGTGGATAGTACCCATTTCACCTTGGACAACCAGCCAACCATGACTATTGGACGAAAACACCCATCTTGTGGTAAGTTGAATGGAATAATGGTTTACTGTGGCTCAGTGCAATGAAGACTGGCAGGGGCAACTATATCCCTCTACTGAGGGCCCGCTAGTTTTACATGAACTTATGAAATCAACCAGGCAGAGTTACAGCTGCTGTTATTTCATTCCTCCTCCTGCACAGATTTCTATAAAGAACATGATGATGGGAGAAGCTGTGGACGTTGAAATACGACAAGAAATATGAATCCATGTGAGACTCGACACCTGGAGGTGAACAAACAACATCTCCCTAATCCTCTGAAGAAGGAATCAGTCACCAGAAACCTGCAAACTGAGACAGTCGAGACTCAGAGAGGAGACGAAAAGATGCGATGTGATGATAAAAACAGTAGGAAGCGAAGCAGAGAAGAACTGAATCGTAGTTCGGATTATCAGCTGCAGGAAGGTGATTGGCAGGGATTAGACAGCTGCTGTTAATTAGATGTAAGGTGAAGGGAAGAAGTGCAGGAGATTATGCAAAGTGGATATTATGATGCAAAATAATGAGGTGAATATTCTGAATTAAAACAGGTGTTCAGTCTCTGTCTGTTCAGGAGGTGTTTTTATAGCTGTTTCGCTGTAGCCGGGCTATTATTGATGTTCTCACTAATTAAAATTCCCTCTTTTTTCCACCTGACAGCCACAATATAACCTGCATCAGCACGTTAATTCATCTGTCACTGATTCCTGCAAATCTGATTTATCTAATTAATTACTTAGGACTAATGTGTGTATGTTATGTATGTGAATGTTAAAAAAAAATGTTAGTAACTATACAAGGTGTACATTTCATTACACAAGGAAATCTGCGTGAAGTAAAACCTGTAAAATAAAAAGGAAATGCTTGCAAATTTGAGAATAGTAATACATTTGGGAATGAATTTGAACAGCGTTTCATATGAAAAAGGAAAAAAAAAACCTTTTTAAAATAAATACATTTTGTGGTTAATTACAGTTACAAGTTTTTAGTTTTATTTTGTATTTAATGAGTAAATTCATAATGTAGTTTTATTGTTATTTTCATATGTTTAAAAAACATTTTAAAAAATGTGTGAAATAAGGCGGGGGAATCCTTAAAATTACAGTTTTTTAAGTGTAGTTTAATTTTAATAAGAATTTTAATAAATGTTCAAATGAACCAATATCCATCCATCCATCCATCCACTATCTATACACCACTTAATCCTCACTAGGGTCGCGGGGGGCTGGAGTCTATCCCAGCTGACTCAGGGTGAAGGCAGGGGACACCCTGGACAGGTCACCAGTCTATCGCAGGGCCACACTTAGAGACAGACAACCAAGCACACTCACATTCACACCTACAGACAATTTAGAATCACCAATTAACCTCAACATGTTTTTGGACTGTGTGGGAGGAAGTCGGAGAACCCGGAGAGAACCCACGCTGCACGGGGAGAACATGTAAACTCCACGCAGAAACCTTACAGCCCTGTGAACCAATATTTCAACAAAAATCACAGGATGTACATAAAGGAGAGTAAAGTAGCTCCGTCAGTTCCGACAGTAACCTGCTGCTAAAATACTGATGCTGTAATGATTTAGTAAAGTCATATGTAATAATATAACTATTAAACTAACAGCATTAAGCCAGTATGTTCTTTCACCTCAGTAGGACTTTATGATGAAGGGTTTTTACTTTATTGTACTGGCGCTTTTACTGAATAAAAGACTTGAATACTTGTTGCAGCATTGACTGTTCACCTGTCAGGGGGTAAACATTCCTGTCTTGGGAGGCAGTTGCTCATTTTGCCTTAAAAAATACAAATCAGATATTAAATGAGTAACTCTCCTGTTTTATTCTCGTTTCTCTTCATGTAAATTTGTCGTTTTCTGGTTTGTTAAATCACACAGTTTGTATCTTTGTGTTTACTGTCAGCTGACCACACTGACATGTAGAATACGTTTCTTTAATTAAAACACTGGAAGCGCAAAGCGGGAAGCTTTTGAATCTTTTTCTGTCTTCTTTGATTTTTCATCCCTCGTGGACGGAGAAGATAAAAGTGATGAATGACGAGAAGCTCAGTTGGGTTCCAGCTGCAGCAGAATCAGCACAGCAGGAGCGTTTTTCTAACCTACATTTCACTGCTTTAATGTTTGATACATGTGCATAGGTGTGTTGTAATAGTGCATTACTGCATGTATACAGTAGTGAATAGTGCTGCTCCTACAACATATACATTTATGTCTGGCTACGTGTAAAAAATCTGTACTTGGGAAAAAAAACTGTCATTGTTGTGATGTCTTCATCTACTATGTTAAGCGCTAAGAGACCACATGTGTTGTATATTGCTACTATTGATATAAAATTGAATTGAAAAATTACTTTTATGGATTTTTTTCTGTATCTTTGAACAAACATTATCTGATGTCTGATGTAAAATTAAACTAAAAATCTGTAACTGTGCTTCATCATGAAATGTTCATCAAGATAATTTTCCATCTAATCACACATTTATCGTAGTTTTAAAAATATGTCCTTTCTCTTTAATACATGGAGATTGTTAAATTCAAGGATAACTATGAATATATTTTAAAACAAACAAAACAAAAAAAGATCCAATTACCATCACTAAATACTGAAAGAGCAAAAATGCAAACAGTCTCATGTAAAATAAAGTCTAGAAAATGTGTCTTAATTATTGGAATTTATTTAGTTTTATGAGATGGTAATTTATTGTTATTATTATTATTATTATTATTGTTACTGGAATATCATTGTTGTTATTTGATTGTTTTTTTTTTACAGTGCATGTGAGAATTTTACAGTTACACAAAATTCTATATATATATATATATCATTATTTTATATATCAATCTGTCTCATTAGCTAAAAAAAAAGGCAAATAAACACTAAAAAGCCATAAAAATACACATTTTCTTATGTAAAATCAGAGCCATAAATGTATTTAATTATGGAAAATTACTTTACTTTTATCAGATGGTTATGAAACATCCTTGTGTTCTGGTGGCTGATGTTTTTCTTGACTTTTTAAAATTGTGTTCAGCCATAATGACCAAAATTATGTCATTTTTGTATTTATTTATTTATTATGTAATCATTCTTTTTTACATTTAAATAAATCATCTTTTTACAATCATAATGAATTTTTCCTCATTAAACAAATGCAATACTTTTCTGAAACCTAATATTTAATAAACAAGCATTTTACTTGAAATCATCTATATTTGAACAAAACAGGGGGAAAAAAATATGTAAAACAACAGTTAAAGAATTTTTCAATTCTCAATACATCATTTCTTTTTCTGATTATGACAAATACATGTAAAGTAATGTTCTCTTTTGCTGATTGAAATACTAAATAATGTCATTTTACAGGCAAATGAAAAGAATAACTTACAATTTCTCAAAGTAAGGATTTTTTAAGTGGACATTATTTACAGGTTTTGCCTATTTTTCAAGGTTATCATGTGAACTGATGTCTTGTTCTGTTATTTTATTATTGTTATTATTATTATTGTTAATACTTGTGACTAAAAACAACAGTAAAATGTTCAATAAATTACCTGTTAGAAACTTTCTTTTTTTCAGTGTCCACACCCCTCATTAAACAATAAATATTAAATTTAAAGATTAAAAAGTGTATTTGAAGTATGAAAAGTATGATGATGCGCTAATTTTCTATCACTTAAATTTTTTTTCCCACAGATTTCACCAGATTTGTTGAACACTGTGTACTTATCACATCAACAGACAGGTAGACCTTAATAAAGTATGCCCTATTTCTGGTCAGGATATCTAATAGTGTGTTGTTGTGATTTGTACACAGAAAGCGTCGCTTGAAGGTTTGAAAAACGTCCTGCAGCCGACCAGCTGATGCCACCAATCAGAGCCTTCGGTCTCCTGGTGATGTCACAGCGTTGACAGCCTCCTAAAGCCGGCAGCAGCAGGATTCATCCACTGAGCAGAGCTTCAGCCTCACAGCTGCACCTCAGTCCTCCCTCAGTGCCGCTTCACAGAAGAAGAAGAAGAAGAAGCAGACGACAAAGTGGTGGGAAAAGAAGAAGAAGAAGGACGGGACCTGCAGCAGAAACATGGAGGGTGAGCTGAAAGGAAAGTCCAGGAGGAAGAGGAGCAGGAGGAGGAGCAAAGGTCAGTGAATGAGGAAGCTTATGAGGAGAATGTGACATTATGTGGCGGGTTTACTGTCAACGTTAGACAAGAAGGATTCTGTTATTACTGAGGGAAACTCTTGTGCCTAATAGAAAAACAATAAGATATAAGTACGATGCATTACTAAGCCTAAGAATGAAGCATGTAAACTAGAATAAAACTGAGGGAAACTGAAAAATACAGAACTGTTGGATCAACTTAAATGAACTGTGTCATTTTCTAAGACACAAAGTTTATCCAAATTAGGTTAAGAAGTAACTGTGATGCCACTGGTTGAAGCTAGACCTATTTAAATTATTTCATTCCGCTAAAATGAGCATCGCTGCAACTTTAATTTAAGCAAAGTCAACTTAAAGTTATTGCATTAAGTATTAGCTCTACCAAAACGTGAAACTACTTTGATTTTTCTTCCCTCTGTGCTCCAACTTGAAGAAAATGTTGCAGAAAAATCTAATGAAACCTGAAGGCATCATTCTAAAGGAGCAGAAAATCTCATTTTTACAGTTCTGCTGATATTAGAAAAGCAGTTTAAAGAAACAAAAAAATGTCCCCCAGTGAGACTCATTTAAAACAGCACTTTAATTCACTTTTTATAGTGTAGAAAAGAAATAAGTAAAACTTGTCATGGTGCTATGGTAGTAAAGTTAGACTGCAGTCACTGAATTGAACAGATGTTTTTATGACTCTTCCTGACTGTCCTGTTTCTTCAGTTGCGTTTGTCTCTTCAGACTTTTTACACCATGATGTGTTTTTAAATGTGCCGAAGCCTCTTTTTTTTTTTTTTCTATTCCACTCATGATATTCTTGTGTTGTGTTTCTGCACCACATCACTTACAATTAGTACATTCAGGCAGATTTATAGGTCAAAATACAGTTCTTACGTGCTGTCTGTTTCCTGATTTTTCTGCACATTTAGACTTTATTGTGTTGCAGAGACAGAAATCATAACGTTGAGTTGAATCTACAGGAATAATATCTGATTAAAATGAGGTTTAGTTTCTTTTGAAGTTCAGTCAGATCAGTGAACTGCAGGTAAAGTGAACCTTATTTTAACATCTCCAGCCAGCTCGCTGGATGTGAGTTAATGACTGTTATCAGGAGTGATGAAGTCTGGATGGTGATTCATTTAATCTCCTAAATCTGCCCAAAAAGAGAAACGCTTAATCCTTAAACCTTTGACAAAAAACTTCACAGATCAGTCAGAACCTCCTCTTCCTCCTCCTCAGAAGCAGCTGATTCTTTATCTGCAGTAACTTTAGTCGGTATTTAATGAAGCCATGCAAAGTTTCACCTTCATGCCATGAATATTTTCAGAGTTACAGGCCCTTGAAGTAGAAAGAGGCCCAGATTTTTTTTTCTGCGTTTGTGAGGCCTCATAACTTCCTGACTGCAGAAAAAACGGTTTTACCGCAGAGTGATTCATGTCTAGAAGACGATCCTGGTATCAAATGTGTGTAAAACGATCCTTTCATTGTCTAGAACTTGTTCTGACCAACCACCATCACACATGCTGATATAAGCCTTGAAAGTTTACCCAGAATGCACTTTTTAAAGCTTTCTGGTGAATTATCAGAAAACAGAAACACATCCAGGGTACCAATGATTGTTTCTATCACTCTATGTCATAGACATTACACTGCTGCAGTTCTACTGTTCAAACTATCATACATCCCATAATATTGATGCTTAAAGCTGGTTGTAGAGAAAATAAACAGAAAACAGATTCAGTGTTCAGACTGTGACACCTGGATGGATGTAAAACTGATCTGGTTTCAGTTTTCACCAGAACTCAAATCTGTTTTTCCTCCTAAAATGTCATGTGTCTATCTGCTGTACTGATGAAGTTCTGAGGCACAGAAATGATGAAAAAAGTCCATTAAAGTGATAAATGTGGACCCTCCTCTATGGACTTCAAGGACCTGGAACTCTGGAAATAGTCATAGTGAAAAGATCAGTTTGCTTCATTAAATAAACTAAAGTGACTGTCGGTAATGAAGCAGCTGAAAAGGGGAGCTTTGTTCACATTTGCCTGATTTTATACAGAATGACCAAACATTAACGAGCCGGCCAGTGGCCCGGTATGCAGCTGTATTTCTATAAACTCTGCTGTGAGCTAAACACTAACACACTGGTCATTATTTAAGCAGATATTATACTACATTTTTTTTTAAAGTAGTGCCATTTCACAGTAAGTCATCTCAGGCCAGTTTAGAAATTAAAACCAAGACCTGACAATATTCAGTTTGAGAGAAAGGCCCAGTAATTCCCTCCAAGCAGCATTTGGTGATTGTAATATCAGAAATATTTGAAAATTACAGCTAAGCTCAGAGTGCAACAGGTTTTCTTTTTCTTCTTGCAAGTGTATTTGATAATGAACCAACAACTAGATGAATTAAGTTTAGTAAATTCACAAACCCCACAAAATAAGTCACTGGAGATGAAGCAAGACCCACCAAGAACTTCATATGTACATAAAGTATATCAACCCACTAAAGTCCTGAACGCGTCACATTTTTCCTCATGTTGGGATCATTTTTCACAGTTAGAATGACAGAAATCATGAAAAAAGAAAAATTAAAGTTAAATTTGTTTATTTATTTTGCAAAAAATGAAAAGCCTGGAATCAACGTTTCCAGCACGTGTCCACAGATGTTTCACCATGCTGGATGTATCTTCAACAGCTTGGCCCTCTGCTGCATTTACTTTATTGCTCCGGTATGTTTGCTTGTCCTCTCAGTCTCTCTCTGTGGAAACACTACCTGCAGTTCAACCTGAAAACTCAATATTTTTGTCTCATGACTGAGGGAATCATGACTTTTTCCAGCTGCGCAAATGAGTGCTGAATTTTTAGGGTTTTTTTTTTCATGTTCATTTTGGCATTTTTAAAAATGTAACATGTAGAATAAAGGGGAGCTCCTGAAATATCACAATTGTAAGCTTAGATTTGATTATTTTCCTGACAGAAAAACTGCACATCACACGTGATTAGTTCAAGAACCATCTGGAATTATAGTTTAAAAAAAAAAAAAAAAGATTATTTTTGTTTCTATAGTTTCTGATTCTAAAAGCCGGTGATTTATGTTTTTTTATTTTTTTTTTTAATAACATGACTTTTAAACCTGCTTTTTCACATTCTCACATTTACCAAAGTGTAACAAGCAATTTTGTAAAATGTAATTTCATTTTTCCAAGATGATTAAATCATTTAGTATTTGCATGATATTCAACAATTTAACATGTATTCCTTAACTTTCAGATAAACTAAGTCAATGTCGCTTCCAACTGAGAAAATAACTCTTTGAATGATTGTAAAACAAATAATAGAAAATATTTAGATACAATTAAAAAGCTTTATTTCAGCATTTAGCAGCTCTGCACTGTAAGAATATGTAAAAAGCACCTTTTTGAAAGAATCTCAGTTATTTTTGGTGCCATCTGCCTTTCTGGTTCTTACCACTGATATAAAAAGTGTGAAAATTCAGTTTACTGCTCCTTTAGGTTCATGATTAAAAAAAAAAAAAAGATGTTGTAAAAAAGTTAAAGCTTCAGTCGGACTTTCCTTTAAACTAAGCTGCAACAGTGCAAACTGATCTAACTTAAAGCAGGGCATTAGCATCACTTGTTCAGTTAACTTGGATAAAAATCACTCAGTTGCATGTTTCCAGTTTAAGCAAGTCATATATGTTGGTTGAAATATTCTCTGTTTTTCAATGAAATGTTCTTGTGTTGTGTCCTGTGTTGTCAATAGAATTATTAGAGTTGATTCAACTTATTTCAAAGATTAGGTCTAAATTAATTTATTGGGCTGGACTGACTCATTTTTACAAGCTGGTCCAACAGGTTTCCTTAATTCTGAAAGAACACATTTAACTTAATGCATGTACATTCATTTAAATGAACCCAAATCATAAATTGTGACTGTTTTTTGACTGCACTCAGAAACCAACTCCTTGCATAAAAAATGGTTGCTGAATGCTGAAGAATAGCTATTTATTGTTGTAGAAATACTTTCCAACATTCTTTTAAACAGTTGTATTTTAATGTAAACCATAAACTCCAGTGTTTTCCTGACTTTCACATGTCCAGGTTTTCAGTGTAGATGCATATTTGCTGATATTGTGGTGCAGCTAAAGTCTCCTAAACCTCAAACTATTGCATGTTAATTCTATTTTTTGCTCCATGTTTGTGCATAAATGCATTGTCTCATCGTGATGCGAGCTCTGGTAATCATAATTACAGTCATCTGAGCAACAGGTCAGCCTTTTAGGATTAATCTGCCATTGTTCTGCACATGTTAATCCTCCATAAACGCTGCAGATTACTGCGTGATGGCTGCAGCATTAAGTCCAGTGGTTATTCAAAGTGCGCTAAGCTCATTCCACTCTCATTAATAACCCATTGGCCTTTTTTTTTGTTGTGAAAGTGTGTCCTCTTTGGAAAATAAATGCCTCCACAAAGTCTTCTCTACCCTCAAATCCCACTATTTTAGGGCCGGAGTGCACTCAGCTAAAGCTTCCACAGTATCCACCGATGAGCTCTGCTTTAATGCCAGCTGGCATTTCAGAAACAGAAGGTGGCATCTTTCTCTCAAATGGCAGACGTCTGCGTTTACAATGGAGCTGCGTGAAGCTCAGCAGGAGGGAAACTCACAGAAACTCAACAGCGTTTGAGTTTCTCTGAGGTTTCAGACAGCTGGACGTCCAAACAAACTGCCACTCAAACCAGCGCCGGACAAAAAAACTGACTTCAGATTCAATTTCATTTAAATCATTTAAATTTGTCATATTTAGTCTGAAAGAAAAATTCAAAATGTTTAAATGTTCCCCTCATCTTTGTACAGAAGTGTGAACAATACTTTATTATACAGCTGCTACAGAAGGTAAAAGGAAATATTTAGTTTTTTACAGAATCTGGTGCAAAAGTTTGTTTTTGCAGATTTTTTTCAATCAGATATGTGAATGGAATTTCATAAAATATCCCATTTTTAATCTTGGATTTGATAAATTGTCTGGACAGAATTGCACACATGGATCAGTGCCAGGACAATATGACTGTTTCTGTTTGCAGTTTTAGAATTACACAACATTTAAGTCGATTATTTAGTCTCATATTAAGTCTTAAAACCTTGTTTTTACTCAAAGAAGCAGAAAAAGTTGACATTAGTTCTTTGATTTAAACCTTCAGATGTATCATAAAGGAATACGTAGCACTGTAATATGGCCTGTTTTCTGAGCACAAGCATTTTCCAAAATGTTCTTATAATCAGTGCTGTTAAACAGAATTAGACATGTTCCCACCAGCTGGTTCAACACACGGCTGCAAGATTAAAATTCTCATTGGTTGATTTAGATGAAACGTTGAAGTTGAAAACATTATTCTGATGAGCTAAATGTTGCATCTGTAAAATAACACAATTACATTTAAATATTAAATTGGAATTTTGTATTTTAAATGTATTTTTGTTGTGTTTTATTGATTACAGTATATTTGGAGATTCTTTAAAACAGACATTTTGTAAATCTGTTTAAATTTGGCCATGAAATTAGAGATAATATTCAAAGAAAATATGTCATTTTATATTATTCATTGTTTAATAATTTGTGAGAATTCATTTATTTATTTCTAGTTTTTTGTTTTATATTACGCTAAATATTTGTAAAACAGATTTTTAATGCATCTGTTCTAGTTTTTTATTTTTATTTTTATTTTTTTTTTTACATATAATTTATTTTCACTTTTTTTTTTCAGTGTAGATTAGTGGGAAAGCATAAAAAAAATATTAAAATCAAGATAAACAGCAATATTATTTTAGTTCCTTTATTCCAGAAACTGTGTGGAATCAGTGAACAGTCTGAACACATCATGAAATTACTGCTAATAAGGATTTTCCTCTTTGCTGATGACTTGATGAAGTTGTTTTGAGCTTTTGAGTGACGATAAATTGCCATGTGGCTGTTAAAATCCCCGTCTGTTGGCTTTTCGGTCAAATTAACAAACTGTCATTTGCTGGCTGTCAGTTCTGGTTGCAAAAATGATTTGATTGTGCAGCTTTCAGGCCAGATTATGATCCTCCAACATGGAGCCAACAGCTGCTGCCGCCGCTCGTCGTGCGTTTGCTCATGTCTGTATATTGGATGCATTTGGGATAAGCGAGCAGTCAAACTTAGTGGGGCATGTCAGCGCGCAATTTCACTGATGGATCCTGCCGTCGCCACACTTCTGAGGCTGTGCTTCATGGAAACATTAGCAATATGGTTTGTGTGGCCATTTAACTTAATTGCGGCGGCTGAAGTGTTGCAGCAGCTCAGTGAGGGTTGGAGTCCCTGAATCTGCTCGTTTCAGGTCAGATCTCCTGCTGGAAAGACTTTCTGCTTACTTTGGATAAATGATCTTTTCTCACTGATTATTCTAAATGAATGCTTTGGTATGTTCAGGTTGGCGCACCTGAAAGTTTAGACGTTCTTCTCTCTTAAAGTCTTCCTCCTGATTTTACCAACGTCTGTTTTCATGCTTAGAAAACTTTAATAAAAATATCAGAGTCATGCTAAATGTTTGAGCTGAAGTAAAAACTTGTACTTTTATATTTAAAGGTACGAGTTGCTTTATTTATCTTCATAAAAATGCATTGAATTTACTATTTTCTTTTATCAAATGTTCCAAATTTCATGCTAAAAAAATACTCACATTGTGCACAGGACTGTAAAAGAAATAAAAAT